AGAGAGAGCGCGAAGAAAGGGCGAAAGAACGAGAAGCGGCAAGGAAAGCGGCAAGGGAAGCCGGAGAACGGGAAGTGCAGTTACTGCAATTAAAGATTCGCCTCATCGAGGGTAGCAGGGTTAGCCGATCCAGCAGTGAGCATGGCGATGCCGGCGAGAAACTGTCATTTGAGCGAGACACATGGTGTCAAGGGCTACTCACGGTTCTGCCTTGCGAGGCAAATGAAGCTGTTGCGCGACTCAGTCAGCAGAACGCGAACAACGAGGTAGTTAAGGCAGAGATGTTCCGGATATCCGGAACTTCTGCGTGGACAAAAGGAGAGCAGCTCAGACAAGAGTCTGAAAGAGAGCTCGAAGCAGAAAGACAAGAGTCTGAAAGCAAGGCGCGTCGGAAAGCATTGGACATTGAAGCGCGTCATGAAACGCCAGAACCAGAAATCGCGCTAGAAAAGGGCCCGCATATTCTCGAATGCATTCATATAAATGATGTAGAGAACGAGGCCTTGGCCGGTCTCGAGGTAGAAACAGTATCAAAAAACGGTCCTAGCGAGGATGAGGTGTGTGCCAGCAGCCCTAATGGACCCAGTAAGAAGCTGGAAACCATCCTCATGCCTCGAGAGGACGTCTCGAGATCGTCACATGCAGATAGGGTTAGTACAGTGGCTAAACACAGCGAGAACGCGACGCTTCAGGAGTGCAGCGATGCCATCGGAGAGGGCCCAGTTAATGGTTTCATCAGCATTAACAAAGATAATTTGGCCCGGCAGTCCGTCGTGACACCGAGTTCAAAATGTTTGAGCGTGGGGCAAAATGTAGCACAAGCTCCAACGAGCTTCCCAACCACTCAGTTCCCGACGCGACTTGATGATGGCATCGAGAGAAAGGGGGCAAGCAAACATCGCCGAAAACAAAAGAAGCGGAAGCGCACTGCGCTGCGCAAGCCTAGGACAGGTCCCACTCAGTCGCAAGAAAGACGAGAGGGTAGGCCGTTAATCCGTTTCAAGGAACGTCAATGGTGGCGTTCAGGGAAGCACAAGCGGCGAGCCAGGTGTAGAGGGAGGAAACGAGGTACGCCACCCCAACGCAGCGTGCGGTTCAGTTCGACAACTTCGGGAAAGCGGCCTTTGCCGAAGGGTCAGAGTCGAAAGGGCAGAGTGGCTGAATACCGCTCAGGGGTGAATACAAAGAGAAAATGGCACAGGCTCCCTCCGAGCTACTGGCGTCACTTTCGAATTCCTACGGGGAATAGGCTGAAGTGTAAAATGAGGTGTGACGGAAGTACACTGCTTAGAGTTTGTGCATTTTGTAGCCTCTGGCGTGCTCGACAACCGCCGGGACCGCGACCCCATCGTGTGCGATTAAAAGCACGATGAGAAGAGGGTTCACGTTCAGTTCGAGTAACTTTTGCACAGGCGTGTTAAATACTGTTACGCAGGGTACGTCAAGATGCGTATTCAAGTCTTTTAATTTTGTGTAGGTTACAAGATTTGATGTGAAGTTTTCAAAAGGCAAACCACCGAACCAAAGGCTGAGAGTTAGCGTCGAATTAGTTTAATCATTAGTGCGAAAATTTGCATAAGGTAAAAACCGAGAAAATGTGTCATTTTTCTAGTTTCTTCAAAGGTTTAGTGTGGCATCGTATTCCTTCACTGCCATGGGGATGTGGCATGAATGAGCATGTGAGGAAGATGTTAGCATAAACCGATTGATTTCGTAAATTGATTAAGATTAAGAAACTAGTGCAAGTGTTGTTGGTTTTCTTTGAAGACGAGTGATCAAGTGAGCATATAAGCAAAACAGTAAACTTTTTCTCAGCTTGAGCCGGATATAGTTCTTGAGGTCTATGAGCATGTTTTTTTTTCCTTCCGTCGGTTGTTTTCTGTTTGTATGTACGTATTTCATTGTATAAGAAGTGTATTTTGAGTTATTTTCTTTTTGCTTGGTGCATTGGTTGTTTTTACTTGCTGTAATGCACATTGAAGGATTGCACTACAGTTGAGGAGCGCACCTGTTCCGTTTTATTTTGTAGTATACATTCGTGCAGTGTATTCTGTATTGATGGCTGCCGTACACGGCTATTTCCTCTTCTTGTTTGTATTGCGCCTTGATATTGTTGCGTGTAACTGAAGCTGGTACTCTAACAATTTGTTTGTTTTTTTTTCTTTTGGTTGTTACTTTGATGCACTCTGCCTAGTTATGTTGTGTATGAGAGGGACAGTCCTTATGCCTCCCTTGTTGGTGGTGTTTTGTTCCTTGTTGTCGGAAAAATTCCCCTCCGTGCGAACAAATGTTATGCATAACATTCTGAAAGTGGGGGGCAATGTCACGGACGGCTATTTTCGGCGACACCGCGTCACGGCAATTAACGGGCGCCGTACTCCCCGACTGACCGTGAGAAACGGCGGCACATGAAAGGGAACCGATAAGTGCAAAATTGGGGTGCTCTCCTTAGAACGTCGCCGCCGACAGTTAATCCTTTGTAACCGTGGCGACGTCTGCAAGGTCGTAGAAGGCCGCGGTATACCCCGTACAAGGATTAGACTACAAGACGCCCGGCTGAGAGCTAAGTGGTTGACCGTTCCCACGGAGAAAAGCGCGGGAAACGCTCTGGTGGCCAAGCCGTATGACAACAACCCGACAGGTTGTCACTCTCGCTAGTTGCGGGCCTTCTCCCTATTAAAAAGGGGTGGGGTCCAAAATATTTTGGGGCGGAGTTTCCCCTCAATTAAACGCGCATGATTGGACCCAGGTAGAGGTCTCTTGTCCCCAAGGAAGAGAGCAAGGAGACACGAGGGGGATTTAAGCGCAGGATTTTGCCCTGCTAGGCAGACTAGTCGCTGAACAAGATGGTGTAGAAACCGATCAACAAGCATCTCTTCTAGAAGTTTTTAGTGTGGCTCTGTATCGGCTGGCCACCTAAACTTAGCCGTTCGTCTAGCTGTGACGCGATATTAACGTCTGCAACGTAGACATCGGGACTTCGCTTCGAGTTAGCTCAACCTGCTCGAAGTCACCTGCAAGCACTAGCCTCCCGGAGCCACCAGCGTTGCAACACCGCCGACATCGCAGTCGTGCCAGAACTCTCTTCGACTTCTCGCATCCGATCGTCGGGGACACAACGCTGCCGGTCATCACACGTATGCCTTCACCTGTTTATATCTTCGAACTTTCTCCTCCGTCGTTCTATTCGTGTTAGTTTGTGTAGTTAGTAATAGTTCTCCCTCGTAAGCTGATTTATTGTTTCTGTTATATATTTCTTTAGTTGTATCAAGTGTGATGTATTTTGTTAGTTGTATTGAAGTGTTGTGTTAGATCCCGTGTGCTGCAAAATCATTAGAGTAAAGTTGTTTTGTTTTCTCACGTCTCTGATCTCTTCACTGTCTCTGCTTGCGTACGGAACGAACCAACCTGCTGTCATTCCCGTCGCCGACTTCGCGCTGGCGACGCTAGAGTGGCAGCTTGTAACAATGCGTAATGGCGGAATGTGAGCATGAAGGGTAAGCCGGAAAACAAAAAAAAATGTATGTAAAAGAGACAAGGTATTTACTTTGCTCACAAAACAGACAAAGAGGCACACAATCACGCATAGTCGCGCTCGATACGCCGAAGAACCACCGGCAAAACTATGAGCACACAGAAAGCCGCACTGCGCTAGAAAAACCACGAGGCAAGTACGTATACAATAACGAACTCTATATGTGAAGAAGAATAAGAGGAGGTCCCCGAAAACGAACACCGACACCGATCGTAAGTGCGAAAACGTAACCCCAACTTGCAAGGCATCAATGAGCAACAATTTGATCACTTAACCAGGTCAGGTGAAGTGGAGAGTGCAAGAAAGACAAAAAAAGATGGAGATGAAAGATTACATACGAACCCGTGGAGAGATAAAGGTGGTGTGGGCTTGAAGCCACAAGGTAGAAGAAAAAAAAAATGGGCTTAGAAAGCAGAAGGCCAAAAATGGCTACACAAGCACACAGAAAAATAAATGGAGTGTGAATAACCAGAAACCCTCAGAAAGGCTTTGAAAGCACAAGGATAGGAAAGCTAAATACCAACAGACAGCCAGACGAGGCTTAGCTTAACAAGCAGAAGGATAGAAAAGCTTGACACCAACCGACAGCCAGAAAACGCTTAACAAGTAGACAGACAGAGAGGCTCCGGCAGACGGCCATGAAGCGCTCAACAAGCAGAAGACAAAGCACAGGTAAATGTGACGGTGTCAGCAATGGCGGCGAATAAGAGACGATAAAAAAAAGCTCGGGTGTTTCTTGCTGCTGCTCATAGAAGGCGCAATGAGAGCTAGCTACGGAGCGGCGACGTATAATTCATTTCGCATACTATACATCTCTGCTTCAAAATAAAATAAAGTAAAAGGAAGTCACGAAAATGAATGCAGTGGACGAAAAGCGGCAATAGGAAGGACGGCGGCGCCCCGGTCGGCGGTTATGGAACACGGAAGAAGAATGCAGACGATGCAGACAGCGGCTGTGAAAACGGAAACAGACGAAAAAGAGTAGATGACCGGCGTTAAGAAATAAGATAAGACGCTGAGAAAAAAAAATAAGCTGTGGTCGACGACGAAGTGCGAACCTAGAAAAGGAAACTAAGCGAAATATTGGGGAGTAAAAGAGGGGAAATAAGCTATGCAAATGCGGAGAGATGAAAGTCTGAAGAATGAAGCATCAACGACCTTCCCCCACAAAGTGTTCGGGCCAACTCTGCACCGTGAGTGGTTTCCGAGAAATAGAAAGAAAAAAAAGGACGTAATCAAGCAAAGAACCTTAACCAGAATCAACTTCTTAACCTGCCTTTTTTGTAGTTTCTTCAGTATAGGGTGTGTCTGGGTAAGCACAGGAAATAAGCTAAGACTAACGGGGAGATCATGCAGACGCGATTATGAACTAAGATACTTCTTGGTAAAATAAGTGATAAGATAAAAAAGTGCGAGACAAGCTAGGGAACAAGAGAGGGGAATGAAAACGAGTGACAGAGCTTACCTTCGGAGCCAGCGTTCACGGAGAACCCGGCTCGCCTGCGTATCTTGCCAGCGATGGGGATGTCGTCAGTCCGACTCCTCTGCGATGAAGGTTAGGGAATCAGGAATACGGGTAGGGAAAAAGTGGGGAAAATGGAGAGGAAAGCGGCAACACGGCAAGTATAGTAAAGGCACAGAGTGACACTCCCATGCGATTTCGCAGAGCGCGAAACAAAAAAAAAACGCACCTCTTAATTCATTTTCTTTTTTATATAACGCCACCGGTTGAGCAAAGGTACTCTAGATTTTCAGACGAAGTTTATGGGCTATCGAGAAAAATTTTAAAAAAAGTGAGCTAGAATTGAAAAAAAAATCTTGAGCGACGAAGGTAATTTTGCCATAACTAGTGAAAACGATTCCGTAGTTGTTTCCTATTCGTTCTCAAGCAATTCGTCGCACTACAGTGGTCTCGACACATATGCACAGCGAAGCTGTACATAGTCGAGGCGTCCCCATCCGTGGGCGTAGCGCTGGTCACGTGGTCTGGCGGCATGGCGAGAGTGAGACTCAGGTGGGAGGGGGAGGGGCGCAACGCGCCAAAATTGAAAAGGGCGAGGCTCGACGGAAAAGAGGGTACCAATGAGAGAGGCACAAATATGGGTGAGGGTGAAAAGCTTGATGCTTGCATTCAAAGAAGCCCCAAGGCCACAGCCTCTTCCTTGCGAGAAAGTGCTATTTGAGCTCACTTTTGAGGATTCTCGCGTCGCTTTTCAAGTTTAGCAGAAATAAAACTGTCCTAAGCATGGAAGTCATGTGTTTTTTTTTTAAGTGATTCAGCTTCATTTTAAAGAGCACTTAATGCAAATATTAAGTTGACGTTGATTGTTGAAAAAAACTGCCCAGAAACCTCGTATTGCTACTGCTGTGCCAAAAAGTGCTTATTTTGACATAAAATCCCGTTTTCGCGGTCCGCATCGCGCTGGCGCACTTCAAATCACTCCCCTGATAGCGGTCTTTCTGACGTCACTGTTGGCTTGCCCAACGTTCCTCGCCTTTGATTGCGCGGCCGCCGACACCAGTAGGAAGCAGAGTGAAAGTAGCGGGAGCCACAGCAGCAACAACGCGGCCACCGAACAATTTTATGCTTGCCTGATTCAACTGAGCCCCGCTAGATGGCACCACATATCCAGACTAACCAGGCGAAAACAGAACTTTTAACCACTTGCGTCATACCTCGTATTGACGCAAGGCGGTTCTTCTTCCTATATTCAAACAGAAATGGACAAGCGCCGTTTTATTACATCTTATGATGCACAGAATATTCTTCTTTTATTGCTGCTAGTTTGATTACTAGTGATTAATTGCAGTCAGACACTCTCACGTCATCGGGATCTTTTCCGAAAGTCCCACTCGTGGAGCACGTCATGGGATACATTTACTTTAGTTTCTCGGTAAGTAGGACACTGTTGTTTATAATAATGTCATTTTAGACGTTATACGTTGAGCTTCCGTTCTGGCATGAAGTGCTGCGCCTTTAGTGTCCCTTTCATGCTTCGTTATTCAAGCCTCCCTGTTGTCTTTGCGATAGTACGCGAGTCTCTACGATTTTTATTGCGATAACAATTATATGAAATGTTGAATGGGCTTTTGCCGTCACCATTGTCGACCCCGTAACGACCCGTACAAGTTCCAAATTGATAAGGCACCGTACGTTATACCCGCGGGTAGTAGCACACGAGAGGTGGCGACGAAAGCGGCTGATGTATAGATCAAACGAGCCAGCCCATCTCCCTCACATGAGATAAGATCCCCCACCCCCCTTGCCCGTTAGGCCCCCCGTCGAGTGTTCTAGCAGACGCGAAACGCTCCGGCCGTCTTTTATCAGCATAAAAACACGCGAGGGGGGGAGGAGATGCTCCAGTAGCAACACCGAACTTTATATTTTACGGGCGCAGTAGCCATCGCTGGCGCGCGCGCTACCTCGCTATCTAGGCAGCCATAAGTGGGAGGCTCGTACAACCTTCTACGTTCTACGTACTGAGCTTTGAACGCGAAAAGACTGTGCGAAAATCCCTCAAGCGGCCATGTTTTCTTACACCGGCATTGCGTAGAGCTATACGTCAGATCAGACTGAAAAGAGTTAGCTGCCAGCCTCACTTGGTATAACATTACAATTTCTTGCCCTCGCATCCAATGGTTCAACCTTGCGATGAAACTTGCTGCGACTCTTTCTTTACATGTTGGAGCTTTTACATAACATCCTACGTTGTCTATATACTCGCATTCGAGCAATCATTTGGGATCTCATTGTACGCAATTGTAGAGACTCCCAACTAATAGCTCAACGTGAGAATAAAATGAACATGCTAGGGCGGGAAATTCGAAGCTCGCAATTGTGGAACGAATGAAAAAAAATAAAAACAAAAGGTGCAGCTTACAATGGCGGTGTTGGAGAAGGTATCTTAGAAATACGTAAAGTTAAGAAACATAGAGAAAATCGAGATTGAGCGGCCGGCAAACATGGCGGACGAGCTTTTACTGCCGTATAGCTGGATGGATGAGGCTCATAACGCGACAGCATCCTGCGTTCTCGAAGGTGAGATAAAACTCAAAACATAGAAAGATAGATCTCTCTAACACTCGCGTTTCGGCAAGGACGAGAAACAGAGTACTTTTGTTTCTGTTTGCTCAACTTTCAGTTCGCTTGAAACATTTCTTGTTTCGGGAAAGCGTATCCAAATAAATAAAGAAAAAGCGCACGCTAGAAAAAATACGACCAAGACGCGGTGACACCTTTCTGTGTCGCTGTTTTACCCTGTCGTCATGAAAATGACGAATCCGACCCAGGGGGCGCTCAGGTGCAAGGGTCTCAATGGCGCCCCCTTGCAGGAGCTAATAAAAGCAGGCCAACGAAAAAACAAACAAACAAACATACAAACGCGAGGTAAGGAAAGATTACGCAGCGCAAGAGCGGTGGCAATATATTCTCGTTCCAAGCAAGGCACAATGTGTACTGCTGAGGAGAGCTACGCTTCAGCGCTCTTCTAGCAAAAGATACTTTTGAAAAATTATAAACTAAAATGTGACAGAGATTATATAGAACGTTGAGGCAATGAGACAACATTTAACTATATATATATATATATATATATATATATATATATATATATATATATATATATATATATATATATATATATATATATGGGAAAAAAGTGTATACATAAGGGTTCGTTTTACCGTGTTTAGAAACAATATTAATGAGATCTAACAGACAATAATTCCAAGGAATATATAGGGGAAGTTAATAGAAACCAATGTACGTAAATGAGAAGAAAGAAAAGTGGGTGAAAAAATAGCTTGCCGTGAGCAGAAATCGAACCTACGACCTTCGAATAACGCGTCCAATGCTCTAGCACTGAGCTATCACGGCTGCTATCCGCCCAGCCACTTTATCGGGTTTATATGTGAATTTAAACGTGCCAGCTCGTAATGAGTTCAGCGTGCAACGTGACGCCATACAGGCTCACACAAAGAGTGTTCCACACTCGCCGCCATGGCTACAGATGGCACTGACTGACCATTCCCACTTTTAAATTCAGATTGCATGCCGTTATCACTGCCGTTTTCGCTGCATAGTCAGTCTGTACGTCACTCTACACAACCCACGAATAAAACATTGGCGGACTTAATGGTGCTAGGGCCTCTTCAAGAGGATTTAAATATAAAGTGGGCGAAATTTAGTTGTGGCGTTGCAGTTGTGCACGAGTCTACAACGAACGCACTCGTCGGCGGCTCGTCCGAGCTTAAAACTGCGCCTGTGCAAAGAGCGCGCGAATGGTTTAGAGGTCTGGCGATTTCTTCTGTTTTTTTCTGACACATTTTTTTTCGCCCACAGAGACAAAATTATTGAGAAAAGGAGGTACACAAATTAGTTCTAAAGATATAAACCAAGCCCCCAGCCATCGATGTCCGCCAACTAAGAATTTGCATATACCCTTGTGCTTAGCACAAATGTTCGACGAGTTAGAGTACGATGTACCAAACTACGGAAGAGCTATAAGCTGCTCAGTTGTGCTAAGAGGCGTTGATCTGTGTGTTTAGAAAAAAAAAAGTGTTTGACGGTTATGACACCTCCGTACTCTACTATGGGCGAGCAGAAAGCCGTCCCAGTTCTTCTATAACGAAAACGTTTACTACGGAAATTGTGCGTGCTCACAAAGAGTGGTTAACGAATTTAGAGTACCTGGTACTCTACTATGGGAGAGCATGAAGCCATCCCGTGATCTTGCTTAGCAAAGGGGGGGGGGGGTAGAAAAAGGGGGTAACGATTTAGAGCACAGGCTACTCTACTATCGTTTAAAACATGAATCGCAATGAATGTGTTCGAGGCATCTGAGTTGCCCATGCAGACACACATTGGAATCGCTGGTTTTAGACCAGAAACCTAAAAATACCGGTCAATTTCGGCAGCCATTCTCACATCCATTCTCAGCCAAACGTAATGTTATGACTAGTAGCAAACAATCTTTAACTACTAATAGGCACAGTATTGACATTAGTGGAGAGAGAGTAGTTAAAATTCGATGCGTGAAGGGCGGGCGGTTTTTTCAGCTCCGCGAGCGGACCTCGCATTTCTTTCTTCGGTTATAAACGACGTTGTACACCGAAAAGGCGCAACAGTGGCGGAAAAGGCAAGTAGACCTGCTTACAAGCTAGTCGGTTCATGTCGAACAGGAGGGTACCAGTAAGCACGCAGGAAGGAAGCAGAAAGAGTTCTTCGGGTCCTGTTTTATATCACCAGAAGCTAGCCTCAGCCAGTCATTCCATGCGTCGACCTCGTCGCGTAATCTACTGACTTGTCTCTGGCACTTCTCTGTCCCTTTTCAAGAGCGAAACCCTTTAAGCACGATTAAAATGTCAAGTTTCCGAAAAAAGAATTATAGCACATCCACGGCGTGAATAACGATGAGTGCAGTGAAGCGTCCGTCCGTCTGTCTGCCCCTAGCACTAGCATCGTCTAGTGGTATAAGCAATCATATATCGAGAAATCGACACTTACGCCACCTATTGAACACTTATAAAAAGTACAGGTCACTACGTACATCAACATCGGAAGTAGCAAACACTTACACCCTAAAGGCTGTTTCACATGCCGCGATTGCAGCGAAAAAAAATTCCGCCATATCCACGAAGTGAATGATGATGAGTGGGCGAAGCGCCGGAGGTAAACCTGGTAAACCATGAATCCTCTGTACATTTTGCCCACTCGATTTTATTACATCGCTCCCCCTAGCGTACGTCGCCGCACTAAATCGAACGATTGCCTTCAACCAATGACACGCGCCATATGTGACATCATTCCTATTTTATAAGATCTCGCGTCTTTCATCAACTACAAGTACCGCTTTCTAGTTTATAACATCTTGCATCTTTTCATCATCAGCTACAAGTACCACCATCTAGTAAACACTACAAGAACTAAACGAGAGGTGGCTACATACAGGAGACGGTACCGCCATCTAGTGAACACTGCAAGAACTAAACTAGAGGTGGCTACATACAGGGGACGGTACCGCCATCTAGTGAACACTGCAAAAACTAAACTAGAGGTGGCTACATACAGGCTACAGAGGACGCACAGCCCACGCCCTAAGGAGCTTCGCCCCTAAAAATCGTTCCGTTCGCTCCAATCGCTCTGTTCGCAACCGTCGCCGATGGCGGTTTCGTTTCACAAGGACCGCGAACAGTCCGCGATTTTCGCTCTGCGACTGGAGCGGCAAGTTCTTGCCACCGCTCTTCGTGACAGACACGAATGCAATGCAATAATATGTGCATTACGATATCATAAAGTTTCCGTGAACGGTAACGAAGGGCTTGCTCGTTTCGTCATTTAGGAAACACTTTCCAGTCTGAAATCATTCTTAAAACGCACAGCATCGGCCATTACCAAAACAAACACGTCGACTCTATTTCGACGGCTTGGCCGGACCAGCCCTATTTCAACGGGTTCCGACCGAAAATCGCTCCCGCCGCTGCGACGAGAGCGAAAATTTCCAACATGTTGGAAGCTCGCCGCGGACCGCTGCGGCGGGAGCGAACTGCCCTTTTTTTTTCGCTGCGAGCGAATTCGCAGCCTGAAAATCGCTACCTTTTTGTGTCATGTGAAACGGCCTAAAGAAGCTTCGTCACTAAATGCATCCCCGTCGCTGCTTATCAGCCTGCTTATCACTGCTTATCAGCCGCGCCCAGCACCGGAGGGACTTCGCGCAGCCGCCTTCCCGAGTTCGCCCGCCAAGCAAGCCGAGTACGAGCAATGAAGTCATATTGACATAATAACAAAAAAAACTACGAAAAGAGACAAGTCGTGCGCTTTCGTCGCTCGAGTACGATTTGATTTGTGGGGTTTAACGTACCAAAACCACCATTTGATTATGAGAGACGCCGTAGTGGAGGGCTCCGGAAGCTCGAGTACGATCGACGAGAGGCCAGCGCTTCTACCGGGTGTGCCCCAGCCCTGCTTTGTATACGTTAGGGCTCGTTCTCACAGCCATCCAACGACCCGTTACGTCAAAAAAGAAAGAAAAAAAACGTACAGAATACGCGACGAAGTTGCGTACGGACAGACGACGGTGGTTGCCAGGCCGACAGCAGCACGTTTTTGTACACACACAAAAAAACTCGCAGCTTTGCCGCAAAGGCGAAGCAATGAACGCGATAGCAACAAACTTGGAAGTCACAGGCGAAGCAATGAACGCGATAGCAACAAACTGCGAAGTCACGCGCAGAACGGAAAGCAGATCGAAACATGCCCCACGTTTCTCACGCGCACGTGACGCACGAAACGTACTCGCAGCTACAGATGCACGCGAATAAGCGTCTCAGTTGTTACTTCGCTGCGTCCGAAAAGCGCGCGCTTTTCGCTAAGGAAGAATTGAATGGTTGCAGTGACCTTTGTGCGCCCCGTAACTACAAGAAAGACCGAGGCCAGCCAAGACGTACGATCCTCCCCACGAGATAAGGACGCGCGAGGTAGCCTGACCTCCATGCTCTAAGCGGGGCAAAGTACGCGTGGAAGATTAGAGCTCGCGCCGCCGCGTGATGCGCCCCCCCCTATCGCGCCCCCCCCCGTCCGGGCATGCCCATTACTAGTGGTAGGTGGTCGATATAAATAGCTTGCCGTATGAACGTTCCGCGCGCCGTAGTTTTTTTTCTGGGTTTTTCATTTTTGCGTTTTCACACACACACACACACACACTTCAGCCAGAGTCTCGCCTTCATCAGGATTGAGGGTACACTTTGTTGGTGCTCAGCTTCATACAACCTTAACACGGAGGGGGAGAAAGAGAAAAAGAGGAAAAAAAGAAAAAAGAGAGAAAAAAAGAGAATATAAAGTGGACTCCCCCTGGGAGCCCGCTTTCACTCTTCCTCCCCTTCTCTCTCCCCTTTCTCCTTTTCACCTTTAGGATGCCTGCGGTCTGTGTATCCTTCCTTCCACTAACGCATTGTTCCCGACCAGACGGCGCCGCCTGGCTCTGGCGCTTCGGTGCGGGGGAAAAGAGCGTTTTAAAGAAGTTTAAGCCTTTAACTACTCAGCGCCTCGTCGACGTCTCGTCGTTGAAAGAAGGGCGCCGCGCATTGCCGCAGAGGCTGGCAAGCGGGTGCAATGTCAATTCTTGCCCGCTTCTGGACTACGCGTGCAGTATCGCAATACCTTTCTCCTTGACCATGCAGACACCCAGTCATTTTAGCCCGGCTTTTTTTTCTTTCTTTTTTTATGCGTGCTCTACGCGTTGTTTTTTTTTATGTTATGTCGTCAGATGCGCCAAGTAAAAACCGGTCGTGGTACAATGAGGAGTGGGTCGAAACTGAAAGCATCGCTTACGTCACCATCAACCCGTTTTTGAAAAAAAAAAAAACGGCTCGTAGCTCCACCCCTCGGAGGAAAACCAGTGCCGTGACGGTGACGGGGCGGGTCGTTTGACGGCCGTGAGAACGATTGATTGATATGTGGAGTTTAACATCCCGAAACAACCATATGATTATGAGAGCCGCCGTAGTGGAGGTCTCCGGAAATTTAGACCACCAGCGCTTCTTTAACGTGCGCCCAAATCTGAGCACACGGGCCTACAACATTTGCGCCCCCATCGGAAATGCAGCCGCCACAGCCGGGATTCGATCCCGGGACCTGTGGGTCAGCAGCGGAGTACTTTAGCCACTCGACCACCGCGGCGGCGCCGGCTGTGAAAACGAGCCGTTAGTATTGTAGCTGAAGTAGGAACATTCTTGCATGGTCCGTGACAGGCTGTGTATACTTTGTCTGTGCCGAAGAAAGACCTAGCATCAGCCAAGAGGGCCACGCTGGGCCGTTAAAATCAACCAGTTTGGCTGTTTCTGAACTTTACACGGCTAGTGTAAACATTTTCTTTTTCTTGCTCTTTTTCTTCGCGTTCGTACTGTATGCCACCCATTCGCACCTTCTGTGTGAGTGCACCCATTTCAACGCGCCAAGACAAGAACTCACTGCAGCTCAGGATATACTAGACGATCGGCCTTTGTCGGAACGAAGGATTCTGGGTCATTAGCCGAGCCCATCCTCCGCCCAGAAGGCTTTGAAAGCTTTGCTGCGCTTTTTGCGTACAACTGGCATCAGAGACAGACTTTAGTGTCTTATACTCTTTGATGCTGCCTTTCCTCTGTCGCAATTTTTTTTGTAATTTCTCCCTCTCTTCGCAACATTTCTTTTTAACATCTCTCATTCCCCTCACCCCTTTTCCCCAGCACAGGGTAGCCAGCCGGTCTAAGAACTGGCTAACCTCCCTGTCTTCCCGCTTAAACTTTCTTCCTCCTCCTCCTCCTCCTCCATTCGATGAGAAAGTAGAGTAGACTTAATGAGCGATTACGAATAGACAAGTTCATATACCCGACGTCCGAATGGGATTGACTCATGACGTGACTCACCGGACGAAGAGGCCTCGCTGCCTCGGCGTTTGAGCCCTCCCTGACGCGAGTAGTCGGACACCCAGGAACCCGACCGCCGGTGCCGCTTGCCGTGCGCCGAAGAGCGGGAAGTCGAGCTGGAGTTGAGCTGCTGCCGAAGCGTCTCCAGTTCCAGCGTCAGCTCGTCATTGCTGTCCTTCAACTCCTGCGGATCAACGAATGGGAGAGACGTACCGGGCTGGAGAAAGCAATGTCTTTTTAAAGACGATAGTCTTTCTTGGGGACCTTCGACAAAAAAATTTCGTCTGTCTGTCTGTGTGTGTCTGTCTGTCTGTCTGTCTGTCTGTGCCTGCCTGTCTGTCTGTCTGTCTGTCTGTGTGTCTGTCTGTCTGTCTGTGTGTGTGTCTGTCTGTCTGTCTGTCTGTCTGTCTGTGTCTGTCTGTCTGTCTGTGTCTGTCTGTGTCTGTATGTGCCTGCCTGTCTGTCTGCCTGTCTGTCTGTCTGTCTGTCTGCCTGTGTGTGTCTGTCTGTCTGTCTGTCTGGCTGGCTGGCTGGCTGGCTGGCTGGCTGGCTGTCTGTCTGTCTGTCTGTCTGTCTGTCTGTCTGTCTGTCTGTCTGTCTGTCTGTCTGTCTGTCTGTCTGTCTGTCTGTACATTTGTCTGTTTGTCCGCCCTAACGATACCTCAAACGGCCAACCCCATCCGCAGCGCCCACCAATCTTGCTCAAAGTTTAGCGTTCATAGTTGTGCGATTGTCAATTAAAAAGCAATTATTGCGCATATCTGAGTCGCCACAACAACGTTTCGATGTTTTATGTGTCTGCCTTTATACTAAAAGAGGCACACACAAGTAACTCTAAGAAATGTAGCGCTTAATCGCGCTGCGCTGACAGTGCAACGCGATGCTCAAAAAGGTGTTTCCAACGCTTTGCTACGACGTCGCGGTGGTGGCACCTGCCCGTCGCTTTGCGTTCTACACCTTATCACCTCCGAGACTGGCGCGCACTTTTCTCCGCTTGCGGAACTACTTTGTTTTCGAAGATAACTGCCAGATAGCACTTGTGTCTAACGCGCCTCGATGCGCTCGTTTGCCTCCGCCACACGCTCGAGGCACTCTAACCACTCTAACGCAGCGCCTGCAGAATACCATTCACCGATTTTTCTTGCGCAGAACGTCAAATAAACGTTTTGTTCACTCTCTCCAGACGCAAGACTATCGTCTTTCGACGACATCGACAGTGTAACGTGTAGATTCGGGCCGATTTTTAAAGGGCATATCGTAATTATGTCAGACAATATGTCTTCAGTAAAAGTATTACAATGCATAAGATAGAGTTTTAATAAAATGGTAAAATTTGAAGCAACAATAGTTGGGCAACGTGCCGTTTTTCTAAAGACATAACCTTAGCGGAGACAAAGTCAGCCCTGGAGTACACTGAAGACCCGAAACACTTTGGCTGCGTCAGGGAGGTAATCATAAATCAACCACAACCTCGCAGTAGCGCAGACCAAGTCCGAAGATAAACGTATACTGAAGATTGCGTTCGCGTAGGTTATATAGAAAGCAAGGGGAAAAAAAGAAGGCAAAGCGAGTGAGAAATGGGGAAACTTGCCTTGTTCTGTTTGCACATAACGTCGAGTTCTTGCAATATCTTCTGGTAGTGCTCGTCATTAAGGAACGTCTGGCCCGACTCCAAGTCCGCAATCTAAACGAGAACACGAGACGAACAAAAAGAACAGAACGAAACTTGATAGGCTGAGTCTCGTTAAGACTTTTAGTTAGAAAAGAGACGTCTGCTGTCTCTCATCTAACTAAAATAAACTAGGTTCGCAAGCCGCTGCCTCGCGAGAGTTTTTTCCCGCTACTTCTGTTCAGCAGGCAAAGCCAGAGCCCGCAATCGGTGGCTCATTAGGCGATGCAAACCACACCAATGTTGCGCTCATCCTTAGAAGGCTATATCGACGCAACCCGAATCACACGGGAGATGAAGTTGGCTACCGGCGGAATTTCGGTGTAGTCAAAGGTTTACTGCGATTCCCGACGCGCATTCAGTTACTACACTAAGCCAACAACTAGGCCATCAAAGATCCGGCTTTCCGGTCATCAACAAAGGCAGAAAATGTGACAGTTTCGTCGCAAAGGTGACGCGATGAATGCAATAGCAAAAAAACTGGAACGTCACGCGAAGGACGGCAAGCAAGTCGCGGCTCGCAGCGTCCCTCGCCGTACGGACCAATCCAGAGCGTATTTCTCGTGACGTCACGTGAACAATCGGCTGGTGCCACGAATTCGGTCGGAAGAACAGAGGACGCCTGGAAAGAACAAGCAGCCTATTATTGGTCTTGTAAGAGATTGTTCCTTTTGAGGAACGGTCACTGTCCCTAAACTCGCTCTGAAAGTAAGCTCTCGATTGGTCCATATACGAGGAGATACGGGAAGTGAATTGGCTGTTTTACCATGACGTCGCGCGCCCATTCTGCGCTGTCTCGCTAATCACCGTGCGTGATCAACCGATTGCATTCCATATCGCCCGTTTTCGACTGATCAGGCGGACACAGCAGCGTGCAGCCGAAAATCACGAAACCTTGATAAGCTGAACACTTAGCGCCCATAATGTTGACGTGCTTTAGCAAGAGCGAGGAAAAAATAATGCCAGTGCGAGAGTAGTGAGAAAGAAACCACTTTCTCGTAATTGAGTTCCCAGTAGTCTAGAGGACCTTTAAAGAATGGCATGAAGAGGTTTCGAATCAAAACGCTAAAGGATACGTGCCACTGTTGAGCAATGGCAACGTCGCCATGCTTACCTTCTGCTTGAGCTGCGCGACGCTTTCCAGCTCCTTCTGCTGGCTCTCGCCCAACCGGTGGAGTTCGCGGTAGCGTTCGGAGTATTCCTGCACTTCCAGTTCCAGGCGGTGATTCTCCTGGAACAGCCAGAACAGCCATGCGGTCACGACGTAACGTCCCTGCTCCGCATATACAGGGGGAGGGGGGGAGAAAAGGGAGGGGGGGGTGCTCCGGCCACTATCCCATAGGAAAACATGGAATCGTGGCCTAGAAAGTTTCAACTCCCCCCCCCCCCGTACGTTTCTATTTAAGTGAGATTCGGTTGATCTATGGTGATGGCGTAGTGTCTTGAAAATGGTACCGATTGTTGAGCTGATATTGATCCACTAAGAGAGGGCGCAAAGTCTGCCGCATATTTTCACTCTGTATACAGAGTGAAAATATACTGCTTATACTCTGTATAAGCAGTATACTCTGTAGGACCTGAGCCAAGCAGAAGGGCAACTACCACGATAGTTTTCGACGATATCGGCCGTCAAAGACTCCTTGTGTGGTACTGCAAGAGCTGCCACATCCAATCGATGTTCTAGGAAAGCCAGGGTCATTGTGAGAAACGTGTCAATGCTCCATTCTATTTATTTTCCACCCATTGTGAAACGCGCTTTTTCTTTAACTAATTCTTTTGCCGCACTATGTAAAGAAACCAGCACAAATGAAAAGGTGCGCAATATGTTGAGCACGTATGTGTGTCAAAAAACTTATCGAACATTATTTCGAAGTCCAGATCTCCCTCCCACCTTAAAGATGAACAGTGCGATCGCTGATGGCGCGACGAGTGCATCGCGTTCGCGTCTTGTCCAGGCGACGGCCCGATTTCGCTTCCTCCGCGTGCCAGACTGTACGTTTTGGCGCCGCAGTCGCGTCGCAAAATTCCACCACCCAGCGTCCCTGCCTCGTTCGCACGCACTCTACGCACCTGTTCGAGAGTGGCCACTTGGGCGCGCAACCTGAGTTCTTCGGCCCGCAGCGCGGATAGCTCGTCCTCGCTGCGCTGTCGTAGCCGCGTCAGCTGCAGCGTGGTAGTTTCCCGCTCCCGCTGGAGTTCCTCGGTCACCTCACGCAGCTGTTCGGTGTGACGCTTCTCCAGGGTCCTGCGCACGGGCAAGAAGGTGTGATTGCACAACAAGGTGCGGTGAACCATTACCGTTAGCTGCACACCTGCGTACCCATCCACCCTTCTGGTGGCTTTGTCCGTGGAGTCACGAGAGTGGGTCGTGGTAACGAAGGTTCATTCACCTGATCTGTGCATATCAATAAATTTCGCTTAGATATAGAACACCTGGACGACGACACATCAATGCCAACACAATTCACGCGCTGCAAAGGCTGCCAAAAAGTCACCTGCCGCGACCTATCCGCACACTCTGCGACAGGCCATGGGATGAAAGAAACAACGTCGAAGCACTCAGTTTTAAGGCTTCCCTTTGGCTTTGGGAATATGAAGTATGATGGGCTCACATCATGGCTGATGCAGCACTGGTACAGACCTGTTGCGAACCCTGCAGAATTTTTCCTCTTCTCAAGCTCAAAAGGAACCTCAAATCCCATACTTTCGACGGTCTACATAACACGTTACAACGGAATCTTGATTGATTTGTGGGGTTTAACGTCCCATAACACGTTACAGGTTACAACGGAGTCTCAGTAAAAGGCAACAGAAATTGACGTTTAGGTAAACATTGCAGCAAGGCATTCCCGTTAGCGATCGTGTATCGACGTCCAAGTACGTCATTTCGAAGAATTTTAATAATACGCACCGATTTGATCAATGAATTACATTTACCAGGCCAAGTGGGATAATCAGGGTGAACAGTGGAAATGTCTCAGACAGGCTGGCGAACATTTCGATCAGAGAATCTATTTTTGTGAAGGGCCTTTGACAAAGATAGGTCCTCCTCCTATCGAAATGTCAGCCAGCCTGTCTGAGCCACTTCCACTGTTTACCTTGATTATCCAACTACGTGTTTTCCATCTGTCAGCTCCCATCTGGATTCCGGTTTATCAGAGCGAGTATCATAGAATCAAGCATAAACTACGCACTGATCTGCCTGTCCAATTACACTCATCTGATTAAGTATATCGACTCACAGCAGCCTGTTCTCGGAGGCCTTTCTCCATCTTGGCGTGGTGCTCGTCCACTTCTTGTGCGATGAGCGCCGACCGAGCGTTGGCCTCGGCCACGTTCACTCGAAGCCGATCTCGCTCCTCCCGAGCCTGCTCGAAGTTGGTCCTAGTAACGACGACACACAAGAAAAAAAAATGTGCGAGACCTTGGTCGTTAGGGAACAAAAAAAAAGAGGCACGCCCAAGCAACTGAAGCTAATAATGTTTTACACTATACTGCAGTCAATCTCCGCTTAGATCTTGAAGAAGCCTATCCAGAGGCAAGGCAAGGTCGGGCAAGCGAGTTCGGTTGAGAATACGAACAATCCGAAACATTCATTCACTTCATCATCATACTAATCAGCCTGGCCACACCCGCTGCAGGGCAAAGGCCTCTCTCATGATTCTCCAACCAACTCGATCTTGTGTTTGCTGATTTCTATATGAAAGGTAAAATCAACAACCATCTGTGCTGCAGCAGAAAGCTTTGCGCTGCATAACAGCTCGTTGTCAATTTTTCAACTCATAACCATTTCCCCGCGTTGCACGATTAGGCAGAGCTTGTTAACAAACATTGATTTGGGTAGGCAAATCTACGTTAATGTCCAACCTCAGCAAACCTAAGCAAAAAGTTCATGGCCAAATACGGGGTGGGCAACACGTACACAAGATGTCGGACCATCCCAAAAAGCGTTTTTACGGTCTTGACTTTTCTCTTCTGTGCTTTTTTGCACGCCCTGTCTCTCAACCTAAACACCTACCAACTAGATCAACTCGGTCATTCAAAGCAAGATTAATTTAGGCGATGAACCTGAGCTAAACCATAACAAGTAGCTGAGCTTGACAGAACGAAATATGCGCAAGACAATAACGAAACTTATCAATTAGCTACGAGGTTTTACAAGATAACTGATGTTTGGCATATAGCCTTAAAAATCTTATCCAATGACTAAACAAAGCGGTTAAGTGAAGTTTGAAGGTTACACCATAACCAGGCCGTAGCCTACGAATAACCAAGACAGATAAGCCCAGCGTGATTTTTGAACAGCGAAAACTTTCTCTACTACCTTTAATCGATGTATACCTGCTTCTATACGCTCTTTAAAACCAGAAGTCTCACAAACTAGCCAAATAGTTCACACTTCTGAGTAAGCCCACGTTACTCAACACTGTAAAATAGTTCGCACCCTTGGGGGTGCTTTGCCGTGTCTGTAACTAACACTTTACAATAAGGGTGTTTTGGTTTGCCGAAATTCCGTTATCGTAGGGTGTTATAGACGGTTTCAAAATTCAAGCGTTGTGCCCCAAAAAAACTTCCGGTTGCCTCATTTCACAGCTGGTAACGTCAAAACTGAAGGACGTTTTCACGTTTTTCAAGGGTAAGGAAAGTATTTTATTAGCTTTTCAGATAAAAAAACGTGCGTAATGTTCGAAGCAATCTTTTCCAGCTTTTATTTAGCTCAAAAGAACATTTATTTGAATATATTTCGCCAAATGGTGGAAGGAAAGTGTAGAAAATCAGCGGGCTATTTTCTAACGCTCTTTTTGCCCGCCTATGCTATTCACAGACATGGGTGGACGAAACCGCAAGTCATCAAGGGTCTGTGTTTGTAAACATTGAAAGGGTCTATAGACACGGCAAGCACCCTTAAGAGTGGGCGCGAAATTGTTCACAGTGAACAACCGGGCAATACTAGGAGCCCGAATTCGGCTGGACTCACTTGAGGTGCGTGAGCTCGTGCTGGTACGAGGCGAGCGCGAAGGCGTACGTCGTGGACGCGTTGCCCGCGCTCACCGACGCCATCTCCTCTTCGAGCTGAGCAGTCAGGTCTTGCAGGTTCACCTTCAGGTTCGGGTTGAAGCCCAATTGCTACGAAGTAATAAAAACGAAGACAAAGGCACACAGAGTGAAGTGTATTGAAAAGCTGAGCAAAACAATCAGGAAGCACGCAAGTATATTCGAAGCCCGAAACGTAACCAAGTTAAATCTCAGCAAGCTTACTTCGATGTAACCCGGTAAATGTATCTCGACTAGCATTTTGTGTTTCGCGATATAGTGCTCAAACACTCGTTCAAGTGAGTGGAAAGCTAACGAAATTTGCTTTAGGCATCGTCAGGAGCATTATTTCGTTATTTACAACAGTACACAATATTCATAATTCTTAGACCTCAAATGAGCTGCGTCTGTAATTCAGGCTATGACTCTGAGCAACAAACGATGAGGGAGTACGATGGAGCAAAACGGTATTTATCAACTAAGCGTTCAATGCTTCAACTGATTATTAACCATTCAGATTCATTGCCTAATGGCTATGACCTGAAATGCGCGCTACGAAACAGCCCATCAATCTGTCCTTTGGAGCTTTGTCTGCATTGATGTGCAAATATGGTGCGCGTATTTTGCGGGCCTTTTTACCATGTAGAGGTTAGGTCACGTTCAGACGACTCGTAAGTGAACCAGGAAAGAAAAAAAAGGAAGAAAGAAATAACTAAGCAGAAAAACAAAATGATGTGGAGTGAGACAGCACGAACAAAAGCTTCAAAGAAAACTCCGTCTTACGTGGCAACAAGAAAACAAGAAAACAGTACGTCGAATTTAGTGAGCTACCACCACTGTTCTTTCTTTTTCTTCCCTCCCTCCCTCCTTCCCTCCTTCCCTCCCTCCCTCCCTCCCTTCCTTCCTTCCTTCCTTCCTTCCTTCCTTCCTTCCTTCCTTCCTTCCTTCCTTCCTTCCTTCCTTCCTTCCTTCATTTCTTTCTTTCTTTCTTTCTTTCTTTCTTTCTCTATCTATCTATCTTTCTTTCTCTCTTTCTTTCTTTCCTGTTCGGTAGTCTTAAACTATCAACAGGCCTGCGCCAAGGAAGGGAGAGAGCGTGAAAGAAAGAGAGAAAGAATGTTGTTAAGGAAGGTGTCAACCGGAGACGTGGTCTGTGTCAGAGGAAAGCCGATCTAACAGGATTAGTCGCTCATCCAATTAAAAACAAGAGACCCCCCCTTGTGGCTCAGTCACGCTGGTGGAGAGAACCAAAGCGTGGGACAGCCTGCAACCCCGCGCAAGACGGCGAAGAAAATACCCTCTCTGGGAAGCTTCATATGAGACAGAGACCCCTCTCATCAAGAGAAAATTTGAAGACAAGACGCGTTCCCAACCCGTACACTTTGAATAGGGAAGTGCCATAAGCAACACCACGCTTTAAGCGTGTTGTGAAGCACGTCATGTACTCATGTCTATAGGGCTCAGCCTTAGCTGACAACCCTGCACTTCATTATTCTAACTGCCTCGCTGTCTCACACTCGAAGACGTCACCAACACGATTGCAGCTCTTGATTTGCTTAATGATAACAGTTAACGGGGTTTAAGGTCTCAAAACCGCGCTATGATGATGAGAGGTACCGTAGTGCAAGGCTCCAGAAATTCAGGCCACGCGGTGTCCTTTAAGGTGAACTGACATCGAACTGCGCACGGGCCTCTACCGTTTTGCCTCCATCGAAACGCGACAGCCACGACCCGAATCGAACCCGCGACCTTAGGGCCCGCAATCGAGCACCGTATAGCCCCAGTCCCGCCGTGGCATACCTGCTCCCACTCTGCCTAAAACCTCTAAAGGTAGGCCGGTAGTATGAAATAAGTACTCTCAGAGGAGAATAAGCTGGAACGCAAATATTTCCAGGCACTGGCAACGTTTGACCATATATGGTTCGCTAAAGCGGCAACTCCTTTAAGCAGGAAGAGTTGCGCTAGATTATAAAAGGCCACCACAAAGAAGGAACACCTAAACAGATCGAGCGCTTACTATCAACGGTAGTTATATTGTAGAGCGTGACTTAAATACGGAAACCAAAGATCTTAATGAATAAAGGTGCGTTAGCACGAGATGTTCCTTGGCACGTCTGCGCAGCTGTGTTCGGTTTCCCTGCTTAACCGACGCTCTGCAGTCAATGAAAACAGTACGTAGTTTGCGCTCGATCGGTTTAGTATTCCTTTTTTGTGGCATATGATATGCAGAACTTTATTAAAGTCCTGAGGATCAGTCCAGGACTGGTGCTGGCCGCTTCCACGTCGAGACACAGAGGCCAAGCCTCTCTGCCGCCACACGGACCCTCTGGACAGCCCTGAGTTGGTCCGCTGATTGATTGATTGATTGATTCATTGATTGATTGATACGTGGGTTTTAACGTCCCAAAACTGCCATATGATTATGAGAGACACCATAGTGGAGCGCTCCGGAAATTTCGACCACCTGGGGTTCTTTAACGTGCACCCAAATCTGAGCACACGGGCCTACAACATTTCCGTCTCCATCGGAAATGCAGCCGCCGGAGCCGGGATTTGATCCCGCGACCTGCGGGTCAGCAGCTGAGTACCTTAGCCAGCAGACCACAGCGGTGGGGCTGAGTTGAGTTGGTCCACCAGCGCGTCACTGTGCAGCATTCGCTGCCATCACTGTTCACCGTGAGAAGCTGCACAGGCCCTTGCCGATCAGCGCCAGAGCATGTGTTCGAAATCGAGCAAGCCCCCACAATTACTACAATAAATAAGAACCCCGGCAGTAGGGATTAATTTTATTCATGATGACCTGGTTGGGGTACGTCAGCGTCTGCAGAAGTCTTAATGTAACCATCTGCACGTGGCCTGTTATGTCTAGCCCCTCAAGACGTCCTCACAACTTGTTCAATCATATATTTCAAGTTATTTTCAGTTATTTTAGTAGGTTGATTCAGTAATTATAGACATCAATTAGGAATCAGAAATACGCTCACTATGTTGTTCACTTCATTATGTGTTGGAATCCATCTTGTTGTCGTTGTTGTTATCAAACGACACGGCTTCGTAGAAGGATTTTAATACGCAACAACGCGTCCTACCGAGAACGACTCAGCTGGCCGGAATGGTTCGGTCGTTGCTCGCGTAAAACACACGACAGCGAATTTTGAAGCGGTTCACGCGCTTTCGATATTGCTTTGCGACGCGAAGACCGACAAAATAAGCAACAAACAAACAAAACGACGCTGTTCGCATTCGCGACAGCTGATGGAGGCGGCAGACCGAGCTAAGAAATCGCCCCCCCCCCCCCCCGCCCCTGCCCCCAAGGATACATTTCTGGGGTGGCGCGTTAACGCAGAAATTAACGGGCTAAGTTCACAGAAAAAAAAATATATTAGGATGTGAAACAGGACGTCGGAACTCTCCACTGTGCTTTCTTCCACTTCGCAGCGCCTTCGCAATTACGCGCACTGCAATGAAATCTAGAGAAGGACAGTGCAGGAACAAAAACGTCCGATGATGAAAAGGTGTCGCTAGATCTCAGTCCGGAATGCGCTTACTGCGTGAAACAATACGTACATAAACTTTGAACATTATTTTGCGTCTGTGCGAGGCATAGATGAAAATGCCTCCCCTATGCCTCACAACATATCTCTCTATGAGCGCGTCTGATAAGATTCCCCAGTTATAGGCCGGCCCAAGCAATGGCGTATATCACGGAGATGTCACGGGGCTCGTGACCCTCTTTGTGCTCAGTGTGTGAGTGGGGGGGAGGGGGCACCTCTAACAAGCGTCCCGTCAAAAATTTGTCTTTCGAACATTATATATATATATATATATATATATATATATATATATATATATATATATATATATATATATATATATATATATAGTTCTAAAAAATCAAGCACGTAGGAAAAATTGTTTTGTAAAGGACTGACGTTTCGGCCGCGGGATCGGCCTTCGTCGGAGTCCGGCGAAGGCCGGTCCCGCGGCCGAAACGTCAGTCCTTTACAAAACAATTTTTCCTACGTGCTTGATTTTTTTGAACTTTTACTTTCGGGTCCTATGTTAGCACTTCATTGTTTATATATATATATATATATATATATATATATATATATATATATATATATATATATATATATATATATATATATATTTTCTGCTTCACAATTACAATATAGCGCACTCAAAATTTTTTTCATAACACGTAGCTGCGTGCAATGCTTTTTGGCTGTGCGAGACCATAGGAATCGCTATCACCGCTTGACCGGTTTCATATATGACTTAATAAAACAATGTAATTACTGCAGCAGCGAACTCATGTTCGTTTTTCAATTATTTCAAGAGCATTACCTCATTTTTTGTATAAGTCAAATAACATCTCTCATTCCAAAAGCAAATGACCGCCAAGCAAGATGCTAACCACGTCGCTGGTTTTTCTGTAATTATGCCACTGCGCCCAAGTGAGTACGAGCCTGCTCCAGCCACCGATCTCGGTTACCCTAAGTGAGAGAAATCTTAGAAAGTCTGAATCGTATCACGAGATTTCGTTGTCGGCGAAATGAGTGAGTGATTGATTTGATATGTGGGGTTTAACGTCCCAAAACCACCATATGATTATGAGAGACGCCGTAGTGGAGGGCTCCGGAAATTTAGACCACCTGGGGTTCTTTAACGTGCACCCAAATCTGAGCACACGGGCCTACAACATTTCCTCCTCCATCGGAAATGCAGCCGCCGCAGCCGGGATTCGAACCCGCGCCCTGCGGGTCAGCGAGTGAGTGATACGCGTAATCCCGAGTCTTAAAAATGTGCTCGAGATCCCGGCTGAGACTGAGTCGTCTTGAACATGAATCTTCAGAGTGTGCACGAGTCGCATCTATATAGCGAGCGACTTTGGATAAGTCTGCTTACGTTTAGATGTGACACGTCGCCATTATTCAACAGAATCTTCAAGAATGGATTGTCACTCTGCCCATAGAGATTACTACACTCTAAAAAAATATCGAGTGAAAAGGGTATCTTTTGTCCCACAAGAATAATCGTCATCAGGCTTGCGTGCGCTTCTTTTCTCGAAAACTCGGCGCTGGCCACTT